CTCCGGGGCGGCCCGCGCGCACCCGCCGAGCGGTTCCTAGCGGACGCGCGGCTGTTCCCGCAGCCCTCCCTCCCTCCCCTCGCCGGATGCCCCGGCCCAACTCCGCAGTGGCGTTGGCGCCAGCCCCTTGAGGGACGTGCCCGGCCAGCCAATCACTGCCCGGCTCTCGAGCCCACTTCCGGCGGCCGCGGCCGCGGCACGGGCGCGCTCCTCTTACGCGCTGGCCCGGCGCCGCCTGTGCGGAGCCGGCCGTGGCCCGCACGCCTCGTCCTCGCGCGCCCTCGCGGGACTCCCGGCCGTTCCCAACGGATCTGCCCGGGGCCTCCGCGCGGGCTTTTTGAAACCACGACTGTTGGGGCCGGCCCGCACCTGGCGTCGGCTCCCCGCGGGCGGCACAAAGATGGAGGCCCGGGCCTGGCAGGAAGGCGGTTATTGGCAGTTTAGGGTGGGCTGGTGCCCCGTGCCGGCGCGCCCGCCAGAGCGAGCCCGTGTGGATAACAGAACGCCAGAGGCCCTTCCGACCGGGTGACCCAGACGGGCCGAGCCCGGCCCGCGGTGGCCCCGGCGCTCCTGCAGCCATGTCCGGTGCGGGCCGGCCAGTGCTCGCACACCCGATCTGTGCGCTGCCAGCCTAAGTGTTTGCGACCCGTTATCTAGGCCCCGCTGGCCTCGAACTCGCGGGACATTAGCCTCCCAGGTGCTAGATGACTAGCGTGTTCTGTGAAGAAGGTTAACGTTTTTACTGCATCCTCTCCGCTACCCCTCTTAGGGGATTACACCCAACTTCCCTGGAGCCCAGGCTTCGCCCGGGCTGTGTCTCATGCGCTCCCCCTCGCTTTCCTCTTCCCTGTTTGGCTGTGCCCCGGTGCCCTGCAGCAGTTTGCTGCCAGCCTCTCCACTGGGCTGCCAGCTTCCTAAAGAGGGGCGCACTGTCATTTTGCTTCCTTCTAGCACATTCATTACCCGTGTAACTAGATAAACAACTGTCACTTACGTGCTTGGTGTCCACAGACAAGATCTCAATTTCTTTTTTTTTTTAATAATTTATTTTTATTTTATGTTCGTTGGTGTTTCGCCTGATTTATGTCTGCGAGGGTGTCAGCAGGCCTGGAACTGGAATCATAGACAGTTGTGAGCTGCCGTGCTGGGAATTGAACCCGGGTCTTCTGGAAGAGCAGTCACTGCTCTCAGCCACTGAGCCATCGTTCCAGCCCCCAAGATCTCAATTTCTAAAACAAGGAAAATGTGTTTTATTTTTTCCATTTTAAGATGATAGAACCAGGAGGCCGAAGAGATGGCTGGGTGATTAGGAGCACTTTGCTTCCAGAGGACCAGAGTTCTGCTCAGGTCCTCGCGCCCAGGTCAGGGCTCTGGTCTCCGCAGGCACAGGCACTCTTGTGCACGTCCCCTCAGGTAGACACACACACACCTACATGTAATTTTTTAAAAGTAATGTTTTAAAGATATTATTGCCCAAAAATTGCATGCCAGGGTTTCTACAAATGGGATCGGTGTAACAGAAGTGGGAAATTCAAGGGAAGGAGCTACTTTGGTGTCAAATTCCTGTAACTATAAAGTTACAGGATGTGCCACATGGGTGCTGGGAATCAAACCCAGGGCCTCTACAAAAGCAGCCAGTACTCTTAACCTCTGAGTCATCTTTCCAGCCCCAAGTCTTTATTTTTTATTGATTTTGTTAACAATTTCTGATTACTCTCTCCTTATCATTTCTCTCTTATCCCTGCCAACCATCTCTTCCTTATTATTCACCTTTTTTTTTTCTTTTGGTTTTTCGAGACAGGGTTTCTCTGTGTAGTGCTGGCTGTCTTGGAACTAACTCTGTAGACCAGGCTGGCCTCAACCTCACAGACATTCGCCTGTCTCTGCCTCCCAAGTGCTGGGATTAAAGGCGTGTGCCACCACCGCCCAGCTAGCCAGGTCAGTCTTGACTATTGGAACTATCGTGGAGTCACCAGTCGGTACACAAAGGCAACAGCCCCCTCTTCTTGAATCTGTCGGTGGCAAATAGGTCAAAAGTGAGAGTAGGAACCCGTGGGCCCCTACGCCATCCAGGCCTGGGTGTTGATGGGTCCATTCTTGTGCAGACCTTACCAGGCATCCACAGCTGCTGTCAGTTGGTGATTACAATGGCTGTGTCCAGACTAGAACCAGCATTTCACCGTCCTTTCTATCTTCTGGCCCTTAGGTCCGTCCCGTCCCCCCACCCCACCCCCAGTATTCCCTGAGCCTTAGAGACTGTTAGACCAGACTCCTTACTGTGTATGGGCCTCAGCAAACTCTAGAAGACCTGCAACTATTTCCTCCCAGACCAGAAGGGCGCTACTTCCCACTGTGGTCTAGGAGGGTAATGTAAGCAGGATGCTCAGGCTCACGTGGAGAGTCAGCTGAGACACTCCCATGTGTCGCCTCCCCTGGTGTTGCAACATTAGCCCCAATAATGTTTCTCTCTGGTGATCTTTTAGGGAGTTTTAATGCTGCAGCTGACCTGCTAACAGGATGAAAGCAGCAGCAGCAGCAGCAGCAGCAGCAGCAGCAGCAGCAGCAGCGACACCTGAGCAGTTAGAAGGCTGGTCTTTGCGAGCAAGTCAGCCAGCGCTTGACAGCTAAAGCAGGGCACCTTCAATGTTAGGATCGCCCGGGGCATTGGGGGCTGTCATATTGACCAGATGGTCTAACGCTGGAATCCTAACCTATACAAGATGATTCCCTGGTCTCTACTTGTGTCTTGCAGATGTCCACTGGAATCTTAATGCCTTAGACCAGTGGTTCTCAACTTGTGTGTCGTAATCCCTTTGGGGTTGCCTCAGACCATCAGAAAACACAGACATTTACATTATGATTCATAACTGTAGCAAAATTACAGCTATGAAGTAGCAACAAAAATAATTTTATGGTTAGGGATCACCACAATATGAATTGTATTAAAGGGTCACAGCATTAGGAAGGTTGAGAACCACTGCCTTATATTTCTCTTTCTGAATCTTTCCAAGGATCGTGAAAGGTTCTGTTGGGTAACAATTTCCTCTGAGATGAAGCCTTCCACCTTTGAGGAAAGGCCTTAAGACACAGGTGAACCTTTCTGCCCTGCAGGGAAGCCCCTCAAACTCAGAAAGGAAACAACTCAATAGCTTCAGGAAGTCCCTGAAATCCACCCCATCCACCAGGCTCCACCTCCCCGGGGGACCGGTAAGCAGTAAGTGCTGCTGAGAGAAGAGTTTCGGACCAGTGGAAGCGCCTGGAAGACAGTCCCCAGAGCTGCCTGCGACCTGTGCAACAAGCTATGGGGAGATTTTATTTGTGCTGAAATGTGATTTTACTTGTATCTTAAAAATAAAGTTGCCTGGGGGCCAGAGCTAAGAGCAAGCCATTTAGAAGAAGTCCAGCAGTGGTGGCACATGCCCTTAATCTGATCACATGGCAGGCAGAATCTCTGTGTGTTCAAGGACACAGTCAAGCGGCAACCCAAACCTTTAATCTCAGTATGAACCATAGAGACCTGGAGGTCTGTATAGACAGGCAGTGACGAGGAACCAATTAGAAGGCAGACCAGAAAGGCAATAAAAAGACAGAACACAGAAGGACTCTCTCTCAGGAAAGATGGCAGCGAGTGGTAAGATAAGGTGGTTTTAGCTCTTGGCTACTGCTCTGATCTCTGGGCTTTTAACTCTTTATTTGGCTCTGTTTCTTATTTAATAAGACAGTTTAGAATTCCTTCTACATTAGGCACCCAACATCCATGGTACAAATTTGAAAAAAAGCTACTTGCCTGGGGCCTTGTGGGCCCCAGCTCAGACCCGAGTTACACTTAGCCAGAAAATGGTGGCACACACGCCTTTAATCCTATCACTTGGGATATCACACTGGAAACAGCCAGGCATGGTGACTCACGCCTTTAATCCCAGGAAGTGATGGCAGAAAGCAGAAAGGTATTTAAGGCGTGAGGACCAGGAACTAGAGCTGGTTAAGCTTTTAGGCTTTTAGCAGCAGTTCATTCGGATGAGGACTCAGAGGCTTTCCGTCTGAGGAAACAGGATCAGCTGAGGAATTGGCGAGGTGAGGTGGCTGTGGCTTGTTCTGCTTCTCTAATCTTCCAGCGTTCACCCCAATACCTGGCACTGGGTTTGTTTTTATTAATAAGAACTTTTAAGATTCGTGCTACGGGGCTGGAGAGATGGCTCACAGGTTAAGAGCACCGACTGCTCTCCCAGAGGTCCTGAGTTCAATTCCCAGCAACCACATGGTGGCTCATAACCATCTATAATGAAATCTGGTGCCCTCTTCTGTATACATAATAAATAAATAAATCATTAAAAAAAAAAAAAAAAGATTCATGCTACAATGAGCTCCAGGATCCGATCTTCCCCGAGCTGTCCATGCTGAGGTGGCCACTTGCTGACGCAGGTGTCTTTGAGGCAAATCTGCTTCTATAAGTAACCCCAATAAAACCCATTGGTTCACCAAGTTGTACCTTGATGACATCCTTATTTTGGATATTGTTTGTTCCCTGTGCAGCGAGTGATGTCTTTTCAGGGATAGCATCACATGACAGGTATATCGGATGCCAGGCTTCCGTTGAAGAAATG